TTGCATCGCATGAGTGAAGAAACTTAGGGACAATCTGGAATTTTACTGACAGAAATCCAGCGATGGTACAATTCTATATGAAAACATAAACATAAACGAGTATGTACATACCCCCTCCCCACATGATATTTACATGCTCACCTATATATCCTCCTCCCTGCCTCCCCACAAGTGACCTAAACTGAAGCGGTATGAATAAGGGATGAGCAACTTTCCTGGCATTAAGCTACTTCCACCATTGCCGTGGGTGGCCCCGCCTAAATCTAACCCGCCAATTTTCTTCCTTCCGCCTCTGCATGCCTCGCCAATTCTCTTCTCGGCCGAGCTAGATTCTTCTTTGGTAAAACGTCCTGAATAAAACATAATCTAAAAAGTCGATGATCATAATAACGTACCAAATTTTAGTACCGTAAACCGTTTTTTTTTTTTTTTTTTTTTTTTTTATAATCTTAGGGAAAGACTATGTACTAGTGTTTATTTTAAATATGAAATCACCGAGTGGACCGGACATTGTTAAATCAAGGCTAAAGAAAGTTGTCTAAACACTAAAATTTCCAAGTGATTTAATATTCAAAGTAAACTCTAGTGCATATTCATCACATAGTCTTGAAGTAACTCAAGTTTACAGAACAAGTTGCGAGTAAACAAGTCATAAGAATTAGTACTTAAAACTTGTTTTAAGCATTAATTTTTTGAGTGAAATTTTTAGTTAAAAATATTTACATCCGATGAAACTACTACGTTCCAACATAAAGGTATCACCTATCAGAAATAGGTTTAACTGGAGCAGAGATTTTTTTTAAGATCACACTAACAAATAATTGTATCTTTTACTGGGTATCACAATGAAATCCAATCGAAACTCTTCCTCTCGATATTTTAGGTCTGTATATTGTATGTCATTTTCAGTATATAAGCAATATTGACTTCGAAGTCTTCAAAAAGAAAACTATTCGCTTAGAAGAAAAATATCTCCCTCCCAGAATCTATGGTAGGGCGCGCGAAATTGGGCAGTGAAAAACCCACAACAATGAAGAACTACATCAGATGTAGACAGGATTTGGTCTATATTGATGTGTTGGTTGGACCAGATAGAGGATATACCGAAAACGATGAAAATTCAAAGAAGGCGACTGTTCGCCCGGGATAAAAAATAGTGTAGGAAGGTAAATTTAACGAGAGATCTTCTTTCGGAGTTAGGCCAAAAATTAGTAAATAAATAAAAAAAGTATTTATATATTAGTTAAATGATTAACATACAACCATTCAGTAAAATGTAATTTGAACCTTTATGAATAATTTAATTTTTAAAATACCGATATTTAGTGAAGAGTAGTCAAACTACATAAATAATCTTCAATAAAATATAATGGACAGTAAAACATATAATAGCATGGAAACTGGATATTTGATGAATATTTTAATGTAATTATATTGACATTAATTTTTTAAAAATGTTTTTGACTTTTCTATTTAACATTTTATACTGTTTCTATTATTTATTTTCTTATTCATTTAGCATGAATGTGTTAATTAAAATCTGGAGTACACCCTAACATTAATTACTGATGGCAGAAGTATATAAACAAAAGAGAACCGATGGCGTTTGATTTTAGAGAGATGGAAGAAAACAATTGAAATATTTTATAATTATATTTAATTAATATTTATTATATATATATATAACTATAAATAATGTTTCATTTATATTTACTCTTTGTTATAGAAATAAAATACCGTGTTTTGTAACTGATTCCTTGCCAAGTCTTTAAAAGCATTATTATATATTCTTTTTCAGTAAAATGATTATGAAAATGAGAACGCAGAAAAAGTAGTCAACTTGGCATAAAATAGGTGTTAGTATTTATTTATGTAGTGTTTTTTTTATTTATAAATAAAAAGCGTATTAAATTGTCTGCAAAGCTTACACACCATTGGGTAAATAATTATCTATATTTAAAGGTCGATTGTTTGTTTTAAATTGAACAAATTAATAAAATCATTACAGAGAAAAAAAATTAGTGGAGAAACCGTTATTAAAATACACTTGTAAAGGAAAATAAATTTGCGCAAGCTTAAATAAAAGTAGAGTGTTTAATTTGATAAAATTCATAGTAAACCATCTGACGTTAGGTAATTACTCTCTGCCGACTTTGAGTCGAATATAACGGGCCGAGAAGTACGCGAATGTTTCGAAGAAAAACATAATCATTAATGCTATCATACGGTTTTAGGTTATTCTTTTAGTATAGGTGATTTCAACAACAAATATGTGTTACATAGTTCATAAATATGAAGAAACCGTAAATTCTAAAAATTCAAAGTCTGCAGGGGTCGTATTAAATTATTTATAATATTTTATTTTAAAACTTTGAGAGATTAAACTAAGATGGATACATTTTGAAGATAAGGTACTTACGCGGTTGCGGCAGCAGTCCAACATGGGAGGAAGGATAGGTTAGGAGTGGTGTGGATATCGGAGGGGAAGCGTGGGCCGGACCATGTAGGAAGCCTAATCATTGCAATTAGGATGAAGGGATTAATAAACATGAACTGGTATCGATAGCGATCCTAAGGGCAGGTAGTCCTTCAATTCGTCGTATCCTCCATTGTTGGTCACTTGATTAGCAACCGGGGCTTCTTAAGTGGGTCCCTCCATCAGGAATCATCGGTATTGGAAATTGGGAATTTTTGCTAAGGATAGGAAAGCTGGGAAAGCCACCAATGTATCGGTATAGTGAATAACGATGGTAGTATTCTAACAAACAATACCTAATTAAATTATGTTTATGAAATATGAAGGTCAGGTAAATGAGGAAAATTGTGAGACGAAGAATCTCACTATTCTCTTCATTTACCATTTTTTCTTTAATTTCTTTTTCATATCCCTGCGTCTATTTTGTGTATATTGATACACAAATCTCATTACACCTTATTTTAATAATTTTAACTTTTTAATTCTCTTATATACAGTCAGTGTATTTTTATGGATTTTTAGTATCTTAATTTTGGTTTATGATTTTCAATAATGAACCATTGAAATCGAACAAAAAATTCAAAAACTTAACCCACTCTCAAAATTTGAAGTTTTACGTATCAGAATACGTAGAATTCGGAAAAACGAATACAAATTATTTTATACGTCCGCCGTCCGCGCAGTTTCGGAGAAGTCACCCGAAGATGAGACTTCTTCACCGAGGACCATGAAGAAGTCTTTCAAGATGGCGATCGAAAAACCTGCGTTGCTATAGACTATAGCGTCTAAACGAATGTAGCGATTTCAATAAAACTTGATGCCCTTTAAATTTATCTATATAACATACTTCAAAGAAGCAGATGAAAAGAAGCTGGAAAAAAAGTTACAAGGGGTGGTAAAATTAGATTCCGAATAACTCAAAAAGTATACACTTTTTGTCGATATTGTATATGGTTATTTAAAAGTTTACGAAATTTCCTAAAAAACAAAAATAAAATCGTTATAATCGGACTATTTAGAGCAAAGATATGGTTTGCAGAAGTTTTTTTTATATGTTCTACTGCAAAGGTTAAATCCTTTGTTTGAAGTAACGCTTTTTTTTTTTTTTTTTTTTTTAGCAAATTATTAATGATGAAAAAAAAGCCAATAATTGGAATCATCTTTTATTTCTTTTCCTTTGTTACTAGGAAGGTAATGTTACTTTAGATGTATAATTGTTTGGAAATAATAAACCATTTTGAAATAATTTGCAGCATATTTCTATTTAAATCTATAATTTTCTTTATATAACTTCTTATTCTTTTTTTCTGTTTTACAAATTATTACTGCTATTAATTTCTTCATACATTATTATTATTAATATTATTTTTTCATAAGTTAATAGTTTCTCTATTGTCATCTGGTCTTTTCTTAGCCCTGATGAAGGCCTAAACTTTGGGCCGAAACGTCAGTAAATATAAAAATAAGTATCATTTATTTATTTATTTTTTTACTGAATACCCCAACCAACTTCTCTTCAATTACTCACAACAGTCAACCATCAATCCACTATTATAAACAACGAAACGTTGAAATAATTTCTTACGTTATCTCCAAAATATTGGTGTTTGAAACATTTTAAATTTTAAAGCCAAATTAATTAGTATTTAGGAAAATAAAAAAAAAAAAAAAATAATAAAGAAAAAAAGTATTTTTTAAATGTGTATCATACTATGTTCATGATGTTGAAAACGTATTTTCATCAACAGCAAGTCAAATCTACTATCTATGATGCTTCAACAAAAAAAAAAAAAACACAAAACTAAATTCTTGGTACATATTTAGTTTTTATTGTTTTAATATCTATTCCTAATCCGTTCAACACTGACTTAAAAACAGATTTCGATTCTGGCTAAATCTGTCGATTTGCTAGATAAATTAATATAACATAACCTAAACTAACCTAACTGGTCGAGAGTTTACAGTATTAAATTTTAGTTGAACTTCTATCCATAACGCAGCTAATTTCTTCTTAGAAATAGCGAGGCAGTTTGACACGGAAAGAAGTTAGCAGGTAAGAATATCAATAATAATCCCTTTAAAAATACAAATTGTCATTATTTCGATTTCCAAAGAAAAGGCTACGTTGCAGGTTTTTAAAATAGTTTTCTATAGCTCTCAAAAACCGAAACCACAAAAAAATAATTAAAATAATGTAGCTATACCAAGTTAATAACGGTATAGAGGAAAATACCGTCCATGGCGGTCCCTGTCAATTTAGATAGTAATTTAATAACTGGCCTAATCATGGTCCTAATTAGCTAAAAGTTTCAAAAGCAATGAATCTTAAAAGGCAATTCAAATTTAAACCATTAAAAAGGATTATAATTGCATAATTATACATAAATCACCATTGGCATAAAATATTTAATTGTTATAAACTTAAGTCAGGTGGCAATTATGCTAGTTATCTTGTAAGACAACAAATAGGCAAGTAGATAGATAAAAATTCTCTAAATGATGACGTTTGTCAAATACGAAGCCGATGGCGTACTATTTGATAGGTGCAATCTTGGTCATCTACTATAACATAGCAGCCAACAGTTTACCTATTCCGTACGTAACTGAGCACCTTGAAGAAAGCCTGGAGGACGTATTGAAGAAGGGACAAGGTGCGAGGGGTGCAATAATACCAGAGAGCGTAAAGGCAAGTACAGATGCTAAGACAAACGTTTTTAAAATTGTCAAAGATTTCATCGGTAATGAAGATGACGTCAAAAGGACATTATTTTTTTGTAAAGAAGGCTTGTGCAAAATTCTTAGCGATGATGACTTGAATGCCGATGACACTACGACTGACGGTATAATAAAAGCTCAAAGAAAAAAGTTAACGAAGAAAATTTCCGAGGAAAAAATTAAAGAAATTTACAAAGCAAAAGAAAGCGATATCCTTACCTTTGACGCCACGCATGATCGGAGCCAAGAGGAAGGAAATCCCGGGGGTAACGATAGGATAAAGTCAGCGCCTAAAATGAAATTGGAGAGCATATTCAAAGGGCACAGATACGTTAAGCTGAAGCAGAATACAGACCCTTTCGACGTGACAATGACAACCCCAGTTCTTCCCAAATTGATAAAATTCAAATTCGCCAAGACGAGGGTGCCCATCACAACTACCAGCAAATTAAAGATTTTATATCAAGACACTAAAGTACTCATGCCCGAAACTCTGGATGAAATGATACGGCAATATCAAATGTACCCTGGAGCGGGTTGTATGTATGTAAAAGGTTGTGACGGAAATCCTATCAAAATTGTGAAGTCGCCGCAAGCTATGGCGCTCATTGCTAAAATCTACAGAGAGGTTTTGGATAAGCCGGAAGGGCACCAAGTCATAAACTTCTACCTCCAGAAGTATGAGCCTCAGCACATTTATGTCGAAGACGATCAATATGTCGCATCCAAGAGATCGACCATTTCTACAACTTCACTTACAGTGAATTCTGAATGCTTTATGTATTAGCTTCATAATAATAATAACTTATTTCTATACATGAAAAGATTATTGTTTATTAAAATAATAATGAAGTGTGTATCGGTTACCTTCTTCTTGTGGTCCTGAGAGGAGGGGCTGTGGGAGGCCTTGGGCTCGGGGGTGGGCGAGTAGTCGGGGGCGGGCTCCTCCATGGCGGGCTCCTCGCTCACCTGCAACACAAACAACACTAGCCTTTAGCATTCAACATCAACATCAACATTCAACATTGAATCATCCTCTATTTCACAGATGGCAGAGCAGCCGCTCCTAACAGCCGCTATTATCTACAATCCCAGCTCACTGTCGCTGATACTTTTTTTTTGTTCCCTTAACCCTACTTGGCCATTTCTGACTTTTCAGGAAGGGGAGTAACATACCAGTACTTTTTCTAGGGGTACAACCAAACCTACTCTAAACAGTGCATAAAGATCGATATTCATGACGTGGGTCCGCCACGAAATTAATTTCAACCTGCCTAGGACGGATTCGAATCCGGCCATCACCATATGATTAAATAATATCGTCTTCCATGTCACCATAATAAGTGAAGTCTCGATAATCCTGGTCGCGCTGGATTATCCCAAAACTCGGATTAAAGCAACAAGGTCTGGAAATTAAAGATTGATTGGATCTGGGATCGAAATTAAAATTTAACTTTTATTATAAACCAATTTCGTTAACATTGATAATTTTATTTTCTATTTTTTTTTCTGATCTTTTAGAACTAGAACTTCTTGCCTAGAAAATTTTTATTAAAAGTTTTGATAAAAGTTGTATTTTTAAAAAAATATAAAAGCAATTCATTTCACAAAAAAGTAAATTTAAAAAGGGATAAATGTGTAGAACCTACGAAAAAATCAAAAGAATCAACTAATTCATTCAAGAGAAAGCATTTGTGTAATTTGACCTCAATTACTAATTATTTCTCATTTTATATGGAATAATTATTACAACTTTTTTTTTGTAAGAATTTAAATAAATAAGAGATACAATTTTGTAATAAACCCAGAACTTCATAGCACACAAGTTTTATGGAACTTTTAATTTCACTTTTTTTCAGTTTCACTTTTAACTTCAAACCTGTTAAAATGGAACTTTTTTAACATGTTTCTAATCCTAGTTCAATACAATTACATTAATGTGTATTTAGGTGTGTATATAAGAGAGATTATTGGGAGATGAGACAGTTTACTTTATGAGCCATTTTGTTATCCCTCATTGAGGAAACATCATATTAGATAAGAGATGTGAATTCCCACATGTTGGTGAAAACTTTGGTCTGACTAGTGAAAAAGTGGCTAACAAGGAACAAGATTAGCTTAGGTTTAATAGATGTTTTATGTGTATTTTCTCTTGGGAGGCTAAGATTATTTGTTAACTGTGATACAAGTGATTTTGAGGCTGAAGCCTCTACTACATAAACTACAAAAATATGTATATTATTTTCATTGGTCCATATTCCAACAAGTGATTTTAGCCAAATATTAAAAAAAAAACACAATATATTCTCTTTTTAAATAATGGATATACTTCAGCTATAAGCACTTAGCAAGTAAAAACATAAACACTTCATCCGTAAAAGTATTATTGTTCCTGTAATGAACATTAGTGAAGAAATGTTGAAGAAACAACAACTGCTTGGCACAAATATTTTCTGCAGACCTAGTTAATCCTTTTTCATAAACTTCACACAGACCAATTTCAAGGAAAAGAAATCACAGGAAAAGCATTATTCTCACCTTTTAAAATAAAGGAATGGAAATGAAGGGTAAGAAATTAAATATTAAAAATATGATGGGAAACTGAAAGAACTGCAAAATGACATAATGTGATGGCAATTACTTATCTACATTAGAAGAGTGTTCTAAAATAATTTGTTTTCTTGAATCATCTGCTTACTACAAATTAATCAAATGAAGGTGCATAGAATTGATAAAGGGCGTCCAAAAATTGAAGAATTGAAGGGTGGAATTTTCTTTTATTAGTAACATTTCAGAGTGAAATTAAGAAAACCTTTTTTTTTTATGTGTACATTGTTCAGAAATTGTTGGGAAACATCTCTGAACATAACAAGAGATTAAAGGTATAATGCGTAAATCACAAGACCAAGAAAGGAAACTATTTCTACCCATACACAATTATGAGTTAACCAGTTAAAAATGTATTACATTTTTTTCAATTCTTATATTCCGCTTTCAAATACGTTTATGTGTCCCATCTGCAGTTGCTTGACATTTTTCATATTATATCTGATACTCTTATTCAAATACTGGAATGCAGTATAAATTGGGTATTTGAAAGTGGAATAAATGAAATATTTTATTAGCTAGTTAAATTCAAAATGAGACATCTCTAATAAATTTCATAAAAAATCTGAAAATTGCCGCACTCTCTCCTACATATTTTTAAAATGTAATCTAAAAAATTTATATTTAAAAATAATCATATATTTTCCTCACAGTTTAACATATCCTATTTTATAACCTGTACCCTTACCCTGTTTCTTAAAAAAAAAAAAAAAAAAAAAGAAAGTCAACAAGTGTTAGTCACGTATTCCAATATTATTCCGAGTCATCACTTCAATCGTCATCTTTTACTTCAGACTCTTCTAGATTTACCATTTCAACATAGGGCGATGGAGGGAAATCATATATCATAAGCAATAAATTTACACTATTTATAGAGTTTTCTTGAATTAAAAGATGTGTTTATGAACAATGTACATAGAAAAGTATCGACTCAAATCTTACAAGAATTACAAGTGTTCTGTTTATGAAATAACCGATTTAACTTTTCTTCCAGTAACATACAATTTAAAGTGAACTTTTCCTCGAATATTCAAACTTTCACAATAAGAACAAGGCAAAATATTAGCTTTCTTTAAATTAATCTATGCAATAGCAAATTTGTAACTTTATTACATTATACATTATATTCTTATTAAATGGTATCTTGCAGACAATATGGAGGACATAGCCTTGAGTAAATATCAGTCTCACTTAATTATTATTATTGTCACTTAATCTTTATTTCCTAATAAATGAATTTAACAAGCATGGAAGTCCTAGACTTGAATGGTTGCAGAACGTAACACATAAAAAAAAAAAAAAAAATCCACATCTTATGGGTGATATAAAGATTAAACACAATCTTTAACAAAAAAGATCTATTAGATCGTGACAATTCTCCAGTTATGTGGTATATAAAATCCTAATATTCTTTTTCAAAGGCTTGTGGAGAATAATAACAATAATCTAGACTGATATCATAAATGTTTCAGAAGGGAACCATCTATTGAGGATCATGTAATAATGTTGGTAGATCAAAACAGTATAAAACCCAGGAAGAAACGAGAATACCAAAGACCTTAACAGGACTTATAAGACAACCACTGAAAGTCACAAAATGTCTGGAGCTTCAAAATAGATGTCTTGAATTTCTAAAAAAACTTTAATGGCAATTCTGGATATGGAATGGAATAAGACAAGGGAATGCTTTAGGTTATCTTGTGTTTATTTTAGATTTTTAAGCATCTCTATTATGAGGCTAAATATAGACAAAGGGGTCTATTTTAAAATTGGAGGTCCACTACTCTGATTTACAGATTATTTTTACATAATTTCTTAATCTAAAAGAGTGCTTCGAAAATAACTTTTTTTTACGAGATGCTACCGGTTGATGTGTTGTGATGAGAGTGATACTCAACAGTCCATCTAAGATTGACTAAAAAGTTGTGAGGGTTGACAATTTTATATATTGAGGGTAAGGGTTAATTTTCAGAAAGAGAATTCTCATTGATAATCTGCAAATATTTGCCAAGAGCTGTAACTCAAATCAAAGAATCAATTTAGTATTAGATTTTGAAAAAAGAAAACCAAGAAAGCTTAGTCTCTACAATTCTCAAGTATCTTCTATCTTTAATTACAATCTAAAACTTAAACTTTTATAAAAACAAATGAGAACATGTTTCTTTAATTTGGAAGAAAGAATTTCGGTTGGGAAAAACCCAGATAGGGAAAAAAATTCAAACTGTGCATTCTCTTTAATACTTAGGCAATCAAAAATCTATGAGGCAGAGAATTCTAAGGTACATATGGAGTATAGAGACGATAGTGGCGAAATAAGTTAAAGTGTAGCCAAGTTTAATATTCTCAAGAGTCAGTTGCAGTGGGGTAAAACTGATTTTGTGGAGAACCGAAGGAATGAATCTCATTCTTCCCACTCTGTTTAGAATAGGTTTTGTTGTACATCTAGAACAACTCTATCTCCCTATGTTAGAAATGAAGAGGTGGGGAAGAGGTAAGCAGAAAAAACAAAAAAGTAGGTAGTATATGTAGGTATGATGAATATAAATGGAGTGGCGAAAATAGCAAAAAAACAAATCAAATGGAATCTGATATACATCTGTAATTGAAAAAATGAAGCACTGTACAAAGGAAACTGTATTCTTTGAAGATGTATGAGGAATCCCTGGTTCAATATAGAATAAGAATAAAATAGCCTAACGAAGCCTTAATTTTCAGACCCATGCATGTCTGATTTCTAATCTAAAAAAAATGGGTCATAAGTTGGATATTATTCATGGTGATATTGCAAAAGAAACTTTTTAGTTTTATGTTATGATTAAAAATAGATAAAAACTTATCTACAGCCATCTGTCACGAATTCCATACATTAAGATGTCTAAACTGTTGATATTATTATGATGTAGAAAAAAAAGTAGAATACTCATAAGTACTAAAAACATCAATGAAAAAAGAATAAATAAAACTCCAGTTGGACGGATTAAAACTTGATTATAAGCTAATATAATTAATTGTTAATTGAGGAACAGCACAAAACTACATATTAACAAACCTTTACTAAGGTTCATGAGAAAAAAGTGTTATAATAATTTTTTTAAATGAACCAATTTGTATCCATAAATAATGTATAAAGTTCCACTCTAAAGACTTCTGCAAGGAATATAGTGATCATAAAAAATCACA